CCGCCCCCTCTTTCTTCACCAGGTCCCCCGCCAGAGGCTCCACTGGGGCAGGGGTGCAGTCAGGCCAGTGATGTCGCCCCACCCAGCCTCCCGGGAGCCCCAGGAAGACCTCACTCACGTGTGGTCGTAGTCTTGCAGTACTGGAAGCTGGAGGGACAGGTCTGGGGATGCTCACAGTTGGTGACGCTGGTGCACACGTGGCAGAGTAGGGCATGGGCTGCGGAGGGCCAGGGAGGGTCTCGCAGAGAGGTCTAGGACCCCTGCTGGACAGATGCCCGGCCACCCCTGCCCTAGGCCAGCCCTGCCCAGGACCTGTGGGGCTCCTGTCCTGTTCAGGCCCCCTCACACCCCAGCCTGGGCCACACACATCTAGGGGAGCTGTGTGGAAGCTCTCCACTGAGAGACATTGGGGACCCCTCCTCGAGGGACCCCAGGGAACTCAAGAGAACTCTAAGAGCAGCTCAGAGATAGCCCCTGCCCTCCACCGAGGAGTGGTCCCTGCAGCCCCTGAGCATCCAGGTTGGGCGGGGGTCCAGGCCTCTCTGTGCCTGCAGGGGCATGGGTCTCATTGCCTCCAGGGCTGTCCTGGGAAAGGCCTAGAGATTGGGGAGTGGCTGGATGAGGGCACAGCCTGTGTACCCACAGGACCCCCAGGCCAGGACACGGACACAGGGATGGTGACAGAGAGAGGGACAGTGGGGCAGAGACAGAGTGACCCAGGAAGGGACAGGCATTGAGAGGAAGAGGCCTGCAGAGACACAGGAAGAGGCGGATGACACAGCAAGGACCAGGCCTGTCTCTGCCGGAGGGCTCTGCTCCGAGTGTCTCTGAGTCTGCACCTCCACCGAGCAGTGGGGTGGGGTCTGCATGTGAGCCCTGCATCCCACAATGCCAGCATGCCAGGGCCCAAAGGTCTACAGCCGCCGGCCTCTAGCTCTGACTGCCTGCTGGGCAGGCTGAGGCTGAGGGTCTGGCACAGGCCATAGCTGTCCCACCCAGTGTCCTTGGCCCAGCCCTACCTGGACCCACGGCCACAGCCAGGACAGCCAGGAGCAGCAGGACGGCCTTCATCTTGGGCGTTGTGGGGAGCAGTGGGGCCCCTCCTCTCCTGAGGCCCTTATAGGCAGGACAGGTGCCGAGGGAGGGGCTCAGGGGCAGCCAGCCAGTCAGAGGCATTCCAGGGGACCTGCCTGCCCCACCCCACCTGGCCCACGCCCACCAGCCCAGCGCCCATCTGGCCCTGCTACTTCCCCCAGGCAGGGGCCTGTCCTCTCCCCTCTGGGCCCAGCCGGAGCCTGTGTCTCCATCCACCTCTCCCTGTCTCTCTGCATGTCTCTTTCTCTCAATGCCTCCCCCTTCCTGGGTCACTTTGTCTTTGAACCTCCATCCCTCTCTCTCATCATCCCTGTGTCCTTGTCCTGGCCTGGGTGTCCTGTTAGTGTCCAGGGCTGTGGCCATCAGACAAGGGGACAGGTCTCTGGGCTCCGGGTGCTAGGGTGGCCCTCGGAGCCCTGGGATGAGGAGCCCCACAGGAAGCAATGTGACCTTGCTGAGCTGTGAGGACTGGGGTGGATGCTGGCCAACTGGTGTGCAAGAGAGAGAGAGAGAGAGGAGGCCATCCCCGCAGGCGAGGGCAGCAGGAGCCACCGGAAGAGGGGCCAGACTGTGAAGCGAGGACCTAGTAGATGCCCCCATCAGCTCTGCTAGCCCCACCTCCCACCATCTGGGGTTCCAGGACCCCTCCCCATCTGGGCTGCCTCTGCAGACTCCAGGGGCTTGCCCTCCTGACGAGCAGCCTCACGCTCCTGCTTGGGTCCCCGGAGACTGAGCACTCGCGGGCTAGCCCAGCACCTGGGCCCCTACTGGAGTGGGTCAGGCACCCAGTGGCTCCGAGGCCAGGCACCCTTGGGCGGACTTTCTCTCCCACCTGACCCCTGCTCTCCCACTGAAGTCCCTGTCTCCTGCTGGCCCAGGCCCGCCTAGTGCTCAGCTGCCCCTTGCTGGGTGGTGCGGGTAAGCCTCAGAGACCTGCCTTTCTTGTGGTTGGCCAGGCTGACTGTGACCAGGGTCAGGACACAGAGAGCTCAACCCTGGGCCTGTACCAAGGACCACCGCCGCCCTGTGGCTTGCAGATGCGTACCAAGGGTGGGCAGAGGGTCTAACCTGGGCTGACCTCTGCTTCAGCCCAGAGGCAAGCTGGGAGGAAGGGCTTTACCTCTGACTTGCCCAGTTGGATAAAGCTAAGGCCTAGACATGGTGCTGGGGTCAGAGGAGGTGCTGCCTTCAGGTCCTCCCCAAAGCAGGTACTGGACCTGCAGGACCTGTCCAACGGCAGAGGGGCCTTGGCGCAGAGCAGGCAGGAGCCCCTGAAGCATCTCCACGTCTCCATCCATGCCTGGGAAGGCCGCCTGCCCTGTGGCTGTTCCTAGGCTCCTGGGGCTCAGTTGAGGCAGCTGAGGTCTCGCTGAGTAGGGCGGGCGATGCAGAGGCCTGACCCAGCTGAGAATACCTGAGAATACCCCCCGCTGCAGGGCCCCTTCATTCACTGCTTGGGGGTTGGAGGCAGGGTGTTTCCCAGAGGCCTCCGAAAGTAGAACTCAGGGCTTAGTGACAGGGTGGTGACTTGTGGGGGCTGGGGCTAACAGATGGAGAGTGAGTCACTGGGGCCAGGGGCTTGGAGACTGCTGGAAAAACCGGTTTGCAATCCCTGTTAGGCCTAGTGGAGCTGGAGGTCCAGGGTGTTGGATGTGTGGACAGTGGAGGTCCTTGCATCCCCACCACCCCAGGGCTGCCTCAGGCTGTGGGAAGGCTGGGCCCAAGGATCTGCTGGATTCCAGTCCTGTGGGAGGAGGCTCTTTTCCCTGGCTGGGCTGCTCAAGAGGATGTGAATGCCTCCTCGGCAGTCCCCTGCCAGGAACAGCTGGTTCCCCTGCCGGGAGAAAGCGGGTAATTCTGAGGGGGTAATGGCCAGAGTTCTTAGGCAACTGAGCTTATGGGGGCAGTGCAGGCAGGGAGGGCTTCCTGTCGATGGTGACTGGCTGGGGCCACTGGAGGAAGTATGGGGCAAGCCATCAGTCTTTGAATGCCAGACAGAGCCTGGCAGGCCCCAGGCAGGCCCCAGGTGGGGCAGCACCTGAAGGGCTCTTTGGCACTAGTTCCTGTCACCACGGCCCCTCTACCCTCTCTCCATGGAGACAGAGCCTGGGTCACCACCCGGGCCCTGGGGCTGAGGCCCTGGACCTGACTTGTACCACCAGCAGGAGCGTCTCCTCAGAGACACTCCTTGACCTCAGCAGGCCAGGAAGCTGGGCATGTTCAAGCCTGGACCTCTGTCTGGGACAGAGGTTTCCGGCTTGGATCCTTGACCCCTGCTTTCTTACCCTTGACTCCTTGAGCTAGGGCTCTGGGGTCCTAGAGGTCGTGGGTGCTCAGAGAGGGGAGCGCTCGGCCCAGGAAGCACACCCACCACCCCAGGCTGCTGGGAGCTGCAGCTCGGGGCAGGCTCCAGTAGACAACAGGCTGCTGGGCTGCAGGGCTGGCTGCAGACCTCGGGCACAGGGATGGAGCTTCTTCAAGCCTGGGTCGCTGTTCAAGCAGGCGCTAGTCCCAGCCACACGTCGGGACCCCTCGCTTCTCTGCCATGTGGTGCTTCAGTCAGCATTTGCCACCGTTTCAATGTTTTCAATGCCAGAGAACTGGCGTGCATGAGGGTGTGAAACTTCCCAGTGGAGCCTGGTCACACCCCACTCCTTTTCCCCACAGTTCTGTCGGGAGCCTGGCAGTGTACGTGCACACGTGGTGTGAAACCCGTATGGCACCGAGAGGGCAGGGACTGGAACCTGAGGTGGCTGTGGGCTGCAGCTCCCTCCGTGCAGTGCTGAACCATCATGCATGGGCCTCATGAACCAGCCCCTCAACCTGACGACTCGCAGATCAGGCTGAGAGACACGCCTCACACCCGAGGTCCCAGACTAGCCGAGGAGGCTCCAGGTCACCCATCACTCTGTGCACATGCTACGTGATAAGGGGGCCGCCAGTTGTGGAGGCCGAGGGACCTGGGGCTGCAGGCTGCGGGAGACCGAGGTGGGCAGCCAGCACGCTGAGTCTGAAGGGCGGGCTGTTACCTGGGACAGCAGGGAAGGGCATCTGGGCAAGGGAGGGTGCCAGGGCCTGGTTTCCAGGATCCTCTGTGGCCTCGGGTGTGACACACCTTTTCTGTCTCTCCCCAGCAGGGCCAGGTGAGTGCTCTATGAGTCAGGCAGTGGGGTAACGAGGTCTCTCTGCCTCCTAGGGCTTGGCATGGCCTTGCCTGCATCTTAGGTCACCCCGGGACCCAGCCACTGCAGCCCTTTCCAGCACTTCCTCCCCTGTTGTTGGGTCTCATTTCTGGGAGACCGTCTCCACAGCTTGGGCTAGGGCCGGGGCTCAAGGCTGGCTCGGTGCTCGCCCACCAGCCCTTGTTCTTGCTGGATCCCCTTTCCTGCTTGCCAGGGTGTAAGGCCAGGGAGTAGTTGTATAGATAGAGCAGAGCGTGGCTGCCTCCCCAGCCTTGGGTCCAGTCTGTTCTGAGAAGGACTAGACTGGTCCCAGGTTCCTAATGCCCAAGAGAGACAGTATTCAGGTGGCAGGTGGGGCCCAGAGGTATGGCTGGTGCCTTCCCACAGAAACCCCACACCAGCACATGGGCCAGGCACAGCTTCCTCTGTGAGCTCAGGGCCCTGTGTGGCCCTGAGCATGGGCCTCTCTGCTGTGTCCCTGGGAGGCACTGGCACTCAGGGGTCCACAGGGGTGCCCAGGATAGAATTAGGGAGGGGGAGAAGCCCTTGGGGTTGACTGCACCCTTTCACAAAGTGAGGTGTGCAGGGAAGCCGCAGATTGGTGAGGGCTTCCCTGTAATGATGACCAATTCCAAAGAAGTCACGGAGGTCCTAGAGGGAAGGTGAGTTCTTGTTTCTTACAGAAATAGCAAGGCTGGGCCGCTGCGGCAGGGGGCTGGTCCCTGCCATTCTCAAGCACAGGCTCAGTTTACAACGCTGAGGACAAGGTGCTCCTAACTCAACTTTAGATGAAGGAGATCCCGTCACCAAGCCAGGGGCCCGGCTTGTATAGACATCGTTTAAAAGTTACATCAAAGTTTAGCTTATCCATGAACCTAGTCAGCAGAGTGCCTGAATTTAGGATTTAGTGCCCCTGATCTTGTGAGGTTAGTGTGGGTATAGGTCCCCAATGCCTCCCCCACCCCCGTGGGCCATTTCCATGAAGTGAGGTAATGGTCACAAGATGTTTATGAGCCCCAGTGGGGGCCCACACCCAGGTCTCAAGGAAAATGAGGCAGCGAGGGAGAGAAAGAGCATGCAATGCATGATGCCTGCTGATTTGAGGAGAGGAAGCCTCCAGAGAGGTGTAGCCATGGAGCTTGAGAACCATCGCACACTACCCTGAGGACCGCGAGCTCTTAGCAGCATGGGCTTGCGGAGCTGCAGAGCCGAGAGAACCTGGGTGAGAATCGGGCATCCTGGAGATGGTTTCTCCTCTGCACCTTAGGACGAGCTTCCACTAGGGTCTACCGGAAGGTCAGAGGGTTTTTGTTTGAGCTCAACCACCGAGTTCTCCCTCTGCTGGGCCACTGCTCAGTCCATCTATTCCAACCTGGAGCTGTGGCTGTCAACTCTCGAACTCCACGCAGTGGGTTCTAGGGTGTCCTTAATTTCCCTTCTTTACTACCCTGCCTTCGCATCCTCTAACACCCAGCCACTCATTCATCCATTCTCCCACCCATCTTCCGATATCTATGCATGCACCCATCCACCTTTCATCATCCCTCCACCCTCCATCATCCCTCCATCCTCCACCCTTCCCTCCTTCATTATCCCTCCACCCTCCATCATCCCTCCATCCTCCACCCATCCACCCTCCATCATCCCTCCATCCTCCACCCATCCCTCCTTCATCATCCCTCCACCCTCCATCATCCCTCCATCCTCCACCCATCCCTCCTTCATTATCCCTCCACCCTCCATCATCCCTCCATCCTCCACCCATCCACCCTCCATCATCCCTCCATCCTCCACCCATC